ACCACTTAAAAGGTACCGTCTATAGACCCTTTGGGAAGTACAGAGCAATGAAACGCCCCCACGACTCCCTGAAAGACAGGTTGTCTGCATACTTGGCTACCAACGGTTGCAGGGTTTAGGCTTTAGACATACCCAAATTGTTGGCATACATATTTTAGGATGCAGTTACAAACACCCCCTTCGGAGTCTAGCCTTTGGCCACAACTATGCTTGTGTGTCGAGTCCCTGAGGGCTAGTTATGGGGTTTAGAGGGTGGGATTTGTGGTTGTGTTAACTGGCTGCTACACTACATAGATGTCTATGTAGAAATATACACATGATATCAACACGCTCAACCAATTTGCTTAACTACTGCTTAACTAATGTGCGGGTGTGGTTCATTCCGCGGAGACACGCCGAACCACGCCTTTGCAGTCATTTGCTTCACGCAGGTATATCCGCAGTGATTCCGTTACTCACCAGACCCTCTCGCATCAAGGCCACAACCGGGGTCGCGATGTTTTTGACGACCTTACACACATCGGATATGTGCACGGCACTACCTCCTTGTTTAGCCTAGGCCGGTGCCGTGGCTGCATTAGTCTCATAAAGGAAGTCCACCTTGCACAGTGACAGGCTACCGATTATGCGTGGGAGACACTTCCCCGGCTAGAGGGCTGGCTGCGTATCTTCGGAGCCTGGCCTTTGGACACTCTGCCCTTCGGTGGCTTCCATCTGAGTCACACGATAGTCCCAGGCCAAACCGAGCAACATTAAAGTCCGTCTCAGTATCACATCCGACATCAGATACTGACCATTGAGCTCACTACCGAGCGTAGCGGTAGGGTCTCAGCGGCACGCGGTCGTCAACCACCTGAGCAGCACATGGATGTGGGCTCGAAGCAGGGCCCCCAAACCTAGAAGGAACGATTTGGTGCCGACCTCGTGATCTCGAAGCGTTGCCCAAACCTAAACTATACGATTAGTTGCTCATGTTTTGGAGTGTATAATAACACTCGCAGAGCTTGAATCATAATACGGACACTTGTTAGTACGGAGACACACGCATGCAGCGGAAATGATGCCAACCGAAAGACAAGGAGCATCACAGCCTAAGGACAACACCCGCTCGCGCCAACGCCTCGAGACCTGTACAAGATACTGCGCAGACCCGGCATTATGGGCGTAACAGCTGCGGGTACGAGAAACGGAAAGGCACGACTCGGAAGCCAAGAATTGCGTCGACCTTCGCATCAGCACAATTTAAGATTCAGAGAGGCAGTCAACCGGACCCACAAAATAAGCATGTTGGTGTTGTCGTTCACGCGGAGAGGCATCCTGGGGTCAAGCTACTACCGCTACCATTACCAGTACTGCTACCAGTACCAATACTACCACTACTACTGCTGCTACTGCTACTGCTGCAAACGATACTAATACAGCGATCCCTACTAGTATGATTACTGCCACCCCTAATGATATTATCACTACGACTGCTACTAATAGTACTAGTGTTACTAATACTTTCACTAGTCCTGACACTACTGCTACCACTGCAACCACTACCAACACTACTACTACTACTACTACTACTACTACTACTACTACTACTACTACTGCTACTACTACGACTACTACTACGACTACGACTACTACTACTACTACTACTGCCACTGCTACAACTAATACTGCTATAACTACTACTACTCCTAGTACTGCTGCTCCTACAATACTACCGCTCTACTACTATTACTGCGACTACTGCTACTACCATACGACTACTACTGAGACTACTACTGAGCACGAGACGGTGCCGCATCGGCGCTTCAAATGGCCGCGTGCCTTGTGATGTCCAAGAACGCAAAACTCAACACAAACACAAACTAAGAATACTAAGGAGACGACGCACCACAGACCACTTCATGTGCGAGTGAACTGAGGGTCAGACATCCTCGCATGCTTCAACATGGGCTCCCTGAGTAAATTACTTGTCATGAATAACAGCAACGTGTACACACAACACACGGGCAGCGCAACGTGCGCAAACACACACCCACGCACATCCGAACCTGCCAAGGCTACTCTTCCAGCGCACCACTTGCCAAAAAAGGTCAAGTCAGAGGCGTGCAAAGGAGGGCACACGAACACAACCGTATGACTTGATAGCTAAGTGCGTGGCTCGCTTGCCCCCAGCGACAGCAGCCTGCTTTGGAGAAGTAGCACGCTCTGCAGTCAAGGCCAACACTCACAACGGCTACATCCGGGATTCTGCGAAGGCGAAGACTGCCTGCAACCAGTTGAGGTAAGCGCGGCCCTCAAAACGCCCGAGACGATTGCAGACCATCTCCCGGGCCCATTAACACAGTCACACGATCTGAGCGATGCGGCGGCCGTGGATTCCTCGCGGCCCTGCGAAATCACTTACGGCACCAGTCCAGACGCTCCGAAGCAACACGTCACAAGTACCTGAGGCTCGGACGAGGCGCAATAAAAATCGCACCAGTCGTCGGACTAACAGAGCATGAAGGTGCATCAACATACCACTCCACACAAAAGACACTCTCACCCCGGAGTTCCTGCCTGGTATAGAAGGTAACAAAACTGGACTGTAACTCGTGTCCGAATGGCAAGACCATCATGCAGCGCCATATGCGGTATCATGCACAAACTACGGCCAAGGCCTTCTCACGGCGTCGCTTCCAGGCCTTGCAACAGTCGACAGCACCGCAAGAGAGCAAAACATCGCACCCCAGCAGCCGACTACTCAGTCCCGGACCACGGCCACCAGGAGTACGAACAGTACGATCAGCATGGTGCAACGGGGGACGGAAGGGAGAGGAGAAAGAACACACGCGGAAACAGGGGAAGAGTAGTTAGGACAAGTCTTAAAGCATCTTACCATCATAAGAACGTCCGTTTGCATGAAATGCACCGTGGATCATGAAGAGTAGAAGCTGTACAGAGACCTAGCCGAGGGATTCGGATAGGCATACAGCCATAACGTACAGGGGAGTGCAGCTGAGTGCGAATGCAAGTCATGCTGTGTAATGTGTACGGTCGTTGCCCGCTTGCGTGAACCTGACTCAAGCTCAAATGAGACTAAGTGGGGGTGGCAGCTGGCTAAAAATTGGTTTGTTTGTTTGTTCGCAGTCTGTCCAGTTTAGACTAACCTAATCTGGCCTGAACTTAAATCACCAGGTTACACACAACCCAGAGTCGTGTGTCGCGCGTGTGTATATACATACCCCCTAAACCACTAAACCCCAAGACCTACACGTGCGGGTGGTTGTCAAAAATATGGTACCTTTTTGAGCCCGAAATATTAGGTGCCGCACTAAAGGTACCATAACTTTGATAACCACCCATGTACGTATTGCGAGAACTGACTGAGGCTCAGGGCTTGGGGTTCAAGGTATGCGGGTTTGGGGCTTTAAGGCTTAGGGTTTCAGGGGTTTAGAGGTTTAGAGATTCACAGCTTAGGGCTTGAGGCCCAAGGGTTCAGGGGCTTGGCGTTTAGGCTTCAGGGCTTGGGGTTTAAATTACGGGCTTGGGGTTTCCGGCTGTTTAAGGGTTCAGGGCTTACAACTTGGGGTTTCAGGTTTGGCGGTGTTTAGGGTTTAGGGTCGAGGGGGCGAAGGCTGCGAGTTGAGGTAGGTTGAGGCCACTGTGTTCAGTAGGTCTGTTTCGTTCGGGGCACAGTAGACAGAAGCAAACCCTGAATCCTGAACGTTAAGCCTGAATAACTGGACTGGGGTTTGTTGACTTCTGTTGCCATCAGGAATACTGTTACGAATCATGTCGAACCCTATGTTGACTCATTGACGGCATGTCAGTTCCCCAGTAATCCCAAAAATGCAACGATAAACGTGTACTGGTCTACTGGGGTCATGGGAGGTTGCCTGTCGCTTTTCGAGTACAAACCTAGCTGCAGAACACGAACATCCGAATGCTGGAGAAGAGGGGTGCCTCTGAGCTTCCTTAAAGGACCGCGTGTCACAAGCGGTCTAGGGTTAATTAAGCGTTTGCAGGTTCCAGTGCTCCATGCCTTTAGTCTTGGTGGTTTTGTGGTTTAGGACTTGATGTTCATGGTGTCCGATCCGGGAACATCAAGCAGGTTGCAGTTTATTTGATGTATATGCTTGCTTCTGTCAGGGTGTATGTCATAGATGCCTTTGCCTCCCCCCCCCCAGCAGACCACCCCCCCTCCCAAATCGCTTCGTGTCGCCAAGAGACAAGCCAAGTTGCATGCGGAGTTCCATGGTGTTCCGTGCACCCGCCACGCCCTAGATCTAATTCCGAGTGTGATGCGCTGCCTTTAGAATGGGCGCCCGAGCAGCCTATAATCTGGGAAACGTCTTACAGCGGTTCCGGTGTGGGGTGTTCCCTAAACCCTAAACCTCTAAACCCTAAACCCTAAAACCCTAAAGCCCTAAAGCGCTAAACCCTAAACCCTAAAACCCTAAAGCCCTAAACCCTAAACCCTAACCCTAAAGCCCTAAAGCCCTAAAACCCTAAACCTCTAAACCCTAAAGCCCTAAAACCCTAAACCTCTAAAACCCTAAAGCCCTAAAGCCCTAAAACCCTAAAACCCTTAGCAGGCTCGAGTCCCCCGCCGTCAAGCACGAGCAGGATCCTGAAGGTTCTCTGGAAAAGGGGGGTGAAACTCTAAAACACGGAGCATGCCAGGACCCTCCTTGTACCCTCAAATAGGGGTATATGGTCCCAAATAAGGGGCATTTAGGGTCTAATAGAGGGTAGATGGAGGGTCTAGGTGTATCATGCTCCGGCTATGTTTGGTAGTGCTCCCAGAACCGAAACCTTCTTCTTGATTCTTGATCCCAACCCTTAAACCGTTGCATGAAACTGTAGACCTTCCGAAAGTCGAGTCGAGCCGGGAAGCTCGCAAGCCAAAGCACGAACTAAGAGCCTCAACGAAACGAACAAGGTTGCGGCTGGGAAGCTGAAAACCTTCTACGACGAAAATAAAGCAAGCTGTCTATGTATTTTACTTGGTCTGGACACTAAACAATTTCTTGCACGATCACGATCTCGCCCGCAGTCTCGGCCGCCATGGCAAGCGACGACACCCTCCGGCACTCGGATGCATCCCCTTCAAGCCCCATCTGCAGGAATCGTGGGATCGACTGGCTCCTGGCAAACTCCGCCGCAACCCACTTCCGACCATTGCAGAGGTCCAGTCGGGCACCAGCCGCGATCAGCGCTGCAGCGGCTTCGAATTGAGCCGTCCTTATGGCCTGCATCAGTGGCGTGCTGCCGTCCATGTGAGAAGCGTGGATTGTCAACGGAGTTCTCCGACCGAGACGGTACTGAAGCGTTTTAACGCCATAAAACCCCCGGGCAAGCAGACTGTAGTCCCGCGATAGATTGAATTGAAAGTTGATGTCTGCGCGGAGGCCAATCAGCCGCTGCACCAGCTCTGCAGAGCCGCCCCGAAAGACCGCGGCAGACCAGAGTGCACGCGAGAGTTGCCACGACGTGGGGCGGCCCTGTAGGATCAACTCCTCCACCGCATCTTGGGATCCCCACGCAGCCGCGGATTCCAAGCCTGTACTGAACTTAGAACCCTAGCAAACATTACAATTTTAGCTGTTTAGTAGGGATTATAATAACCACAAATTAAAAAATATTTCTAAGTACCCCTTAGAAGCTGGTGGAACCAAACAAATCCCGGGCCAGAGGCATGCCCTTTGCTGCACAGAGCAGGCGGATGCCCTCTACATTGCCATTCGTCGCCGCGGCGCAGACGGGGGGCGCGATGACGCCCGAAACGGAGGCCCTTGATGCGAGAAGCAGCTGTGCGGCCTCGTTTCGCTTGTAGAACACCTCAGCCGCTCTTATAAAGCAAAAGAAAGACAACATTCCTATTTATCCCCTCAAGTTATATTACAAGGAAAATGAAACATAGTTCTAAGAGCAGTAAAGACACAGCCAGCTCCAGCGCCGACCTAATCCATGGTTGGGGTCGTATTCAAAAACTTACATTTACATTTCGTATAAAAAACGTAAAATGCTGTCCAACTATGAAACGCGACATGTAGGGAGGAAAGCACCTCAAGGGGACCCCTTCTGAACCCTACTTCTGGCTCTCTTATAAGGGGCCTTAGGGAGAGGGTCTATATCCCCAAGGGTCCCCCTAATCCTAACTCCCAGAAAAGCGACATGTAGGGAGGCCCCTAGGTATATACCCTTAATATAGCTACTTCATACCCATTCTATAGCCCATTATAGGGTAGGGGTCCCCATTAAGGGTCCCTCCTTTTCCCCTTTGAAACTATAAAAAGCGACATGTACCCTAAACCCTAAACCGGTCTAATCCTAACTCCCAGAAAAGCGACATGTAGGGAGGGAAGCCCAGGATCGGCTCATCCTTGGAGGTGCGCCGCTTCACATCTGCCCTCAGCTCCAAGAGGCCTCTCAGCACCTGAGTTTTTAAAAAAAGTCTAGGGGTTTAGGGGTTGAGGGGCTTAGGGTTTTTGGTGTTTTAGTAGGGTATGAAAGGTTCAGCACCTGAGTTTATAACAAAGATTAGGGTTTAGGGTTTTTGGGGTTTTAGGGTATGGGGGTTTAGGGGTTCAGCACCTGAGTTTATAAAGAGTTTACCTATGGGCTCCATTGTAGTTCCTTCTTTTGGCTTAACCAAATATATAATTAGGATCCTATACGGTAACCCCAAGAAGGAACTACAATGGAGACTGTAGGTAGGGCTTTAGGGGTTGAGGGTTCGGGATTTTAGGATATGGGGGTTTAAGGCTTTTCGGGTTTTAGGGGCTTAGGGTTTAAGGTACAGGTGTTAAGGGCTTTGGGGTTTAGCCTTTAATGGGCCCAAGAAAAGGTGTGAACTTTCAGTTCGGTCGTCGATAATGTTCATTTCCAACCCTAAGGCTCAAAATGGCCCAAAAGCCTGTCTTTAAGCTCAATTTTGTTTGTTATTACCTTTGTTTTCTTTAAGCCCAAGAGGCCTTCAAATATGAGTACTTAGAGCCTGAGGGAGAAAGTTTATACTCGTTTGGCTACTCAGGTACCTCTACGTTGCCGGCCAGGGCCGCGTAGTGCAAGGGCCACCATCCTGCGCTGTCTGCTTTGTTGACCTGGGAGCTTCCGAAAGTCAAAGGGGAACAGGAGGGACCCTTAATAAGGACCCCTAGGTAATATATCCTTAATATAGCCATTATATACCCATTACATAGCCCATTATAGGGTAGGGGTCCCCATTAAGGGTCCCTCCTTTCCACTTTGAACTTTGAGAACACAGGGGACACTAACATACCCAAGGGCCCCAAAGTAGTTCCTTTTTGGGATTACCTTACAGGAGTCTCAATATCAACCCAAAAAGGAACTACTTTGGGGCCTATGGGTAGTGCCCTGAGCAGTAGAATCCTTATTATAGCGACCCCCAAACCCTAAGTTTGGGAAACTCCCACCTGTCTCAAGCCGTTCTGATGCAAGAACTCCCGGACGGCATCCTCACCTGCACTGGGCAGAAAGCCAGGTACCGGGGCGATCTCCAGGCCACGCAGGTGGACCGTTTGGAGGTTGTAGTAGCGTCGGAAGGCAGGAAGGTCGCCAACTCGCAGGCAGTGCTTCAGCCTCTGCTCGAGGATATGACGCATCACCGGGGCCAAATTTTGACAATCCTCCGCTTTGCTGAACTCGCCTTCCCCGACGGTGCCACTCTGCAAGGACGTCACTGAGCCAACAACTTCCATGGAGGTATCCTGAGCTCTTTCTTTCATGAGTCTTAAGAGCCAGGCCAGGGCTACAATTAGGGTAATTATACGTATAATTGAGGTACTCATAAAATGAATTACTAAATCCCATGATCCTGCAAGCATCGAAGAGCTAAGCTGAAGTTACGAAAACTACGTGACTAAGGCGACCACAGACAGCTCTTACCAAAAAAAAACCTGCTCTGGGCACTTGCGAGTAAATCCCTTGATAACGCTGCCACCCTAAACCCTACGCCAAAACTCTCAATCCGAAGCTCTGCGCCCAAACCCTATCAGGGTTTCATTTTAGGGTTGTGGGTCTATCGGGTTGCGGGGTTTATGGGTTTAGGGTTGTACCCCGTCAAACAGTGACCCAGTGGCGCTCTGAATCAGAACCCATGAGGTGTCTGGTGACAGCTCACGTGCGGCCCGCTCCAGCCGGCACCAACCCCTGCTGCTCCAGGTGGCTGTTGTTAGCACCTGCTGCTGAATACCGTTTAGGGTTTAGGGTTAATTGGTTCAGTTGTTTAGGGTTTAGGGTTTAGAGATTTAGGATTTAGGGTAAGGGGTTTAGGGGTTCAAGGGTTTAGAGTTAGCCTGGAGATACCTCCGGCTGGAAAAAACCAGACGCTCGAAGAGGATATAAAAATCCGACCTCGCTAAAAAACCGACCGCTTTACAACCTCCGAAAAACACTAATTTCCTGGTGGGACAGGCTGCTTGAAAAAACCCGAAGCAAAACCCTCTTAAGTCTTGAAAGATCCGGAGAAACATCGCGAGTCCGCCATGTTTTTCAGCTGAGAGCCCTGTTCACGGCCACCAAGTATCTCTGAAGAGTCCTCAGCATTAACTGCTGATTTCCTACTCTTCTGCTCATCCGGGACATTTGTCCTACAAAATCTTCATCCATCTGCACTGATGTGGCCAGTGGGCTTCTCACCCAAGCATGCCTCTTTGCCGCCAAGATAATCTCTCTCCAACAGTGATGTAGATAGTGGCTCTTGGGCATCATCGGGTATCGTGATCTGGACTGTTGGAGTGTTACAAAAGCCAGCTTAGCATACGATTGTAAGCACCGGAGACCGGACAGACCAATGGATCTCGCTTCATCAGAAGATAGCCAATAGCCGCCTTGGTAAGACAGCCTAAAAGCTCGATTGCCAGCAGCGATACAAATAAGAGCCTCCTCAGTAATCTCTGTTGGAACGTAGAGGGCCCGATCTCGCAAGAAGTCTTCCAGAAAACAAAGCAGGACACGAGTGTCCGAGAACTTGCTCCAGCATCCAACTGGAAGAACTTGGTAGCCCTGCTCCATCCCGAACAGTTCCCGGTCAAAGTGGCCAATATGCAATGTCAGTTTTGACTTCTTTCGCCAGGTTTCATAGGCTTGCTGAAGAATGCTAAATTTGAAATCAATAGATCCCACTTCCAGATTGGGTAGTATTTCGGCCACTGTCGAGGCTGCAATATGTTTCCCTGTTCCTCCGTGAAAATTGTGCCAGATATCGAACTCAAGAAATCGTGGCGCTTTCAAGTCGTCTTCGTCAAAGCCTAGCCCTCGCAAAAAAGGTGGCAGCTGCGACCAAGGCAGAGTTTCGTCGATCGTGTAGCTCCACTCCGGATGTAGGTTCAGATTTTCAAAAGGCACGTTTGGGGTTCCTGCTAGGCATCTCCAACAGATGCCATGGGAAACATCCTCCCCAGTCGATTTGGCTACCCTGGCGAACGATCGCTCTAAGTGGGCGACCTTGGCCAAAAACGGGTTGTCTCCAGTAAGGCCAACACAAACAGCATGATAATGCTTCCCATCAGCATCCAAAAAACCCTTTGTTTCAAGTCGCTCGTACGATGCAGCAATGTTGCGGCCAATTGCATCCCAAACAGTTTCTGCATTTTTTCCGTACACTGCCTTTGGAACTGCAACATGAAGAAACCTGGAGGTCATGCTAGCAGACATATTAAGGCCCATTCGGTTTTTCTGCTCGGCCTCGGAGTGCATTTCCTGAAACTGTCGTGTCCCGAAGCCCACACATCCACGAAGTGACCATATCAAGATGCCCTTTTTTTTCTTGCCCCTGCCTTCATCTCCATGAGAAAAGAACGGAATCGTTCTCTCCAAAGAGATGTCTCCACGGGCGGCAGCCTTGAAAGCTCGATGCCCAGGCTCCACTTTGGCGAACCGTCGCCACCACTCCAACAAATTATTCTTTCCATGTAGAAACTCCAGTTTAGCATCCCGGGCCAAACAAGATACCATTTTGTATGGATCCAACCACGGAATCTGTCTGATGCCAGTGCTTGTTTCAACCGGAATGTAGTCGATGTCTACTTGCAAAGTATGTCCGCTTTGCTGCAACCTGTCATTTATGATGCTCGGAGATGCAAAGTCATACTTTATTTTATTTTCAACCGAGAACAACCAAACCAGTAGAATCGAACTAGTTGTACCAAGAGGCTCCCGAAAGGCATTCTTCTCAGCTCGATGCTTGCTTCCTTTGGCAAGCCTAGCATAAATCGATTTCGCAGAAGGCGGGTCCGGCTCTTCCAAGCGTGATTTCGCATCGGCCCAGATGCTCTCCCCTGTTGCCTTGGGTAGCTATTATTTGATTTCCTTAAAATGATACATCGGAGGAAGTTGGTATACTTAAAGGGTTTGGGGGTCATACTTAAAGGGTTTGGGGGTCTGGGGAGGGGTGACTGACTGAATTCTGGAGAGGGTTATATGTGCCACCCCGGGGACCATAAGGATAACTACTAGAAAACATATAAAGTCAATTCTCCTTAAATTCAATAGCACCGAAAATAATACCTTGAAAGCCCCAAACCAAATCTCAACAACCCCAATGCCCAACCTCGGTCCTAACTTCTACGATCCCAACTCCCTTGGTTACTAGGCAGAACCTTAGAAAGCTGAGCCAACTCCAGAAGAGCCTTATACAACTATGAGACAATATCCGAGGTTGTTGTACCCCGATACAGGCTGTATAACCTTCTCTTATATTAGAAACCCATCCTCGACCAAGCCATCCTCCCAGCGATCCCACGACTGGCCGTGGAGCCCCTCGCGACAGCGACCTCGCCACATTCAGGCGCTGCAGTTCTCGACCTGGCTTTGGGTTTTTTTTGCGTGGCATAGTTGGAGGTTTGCAAGATAAAGGCATTCGAGGGCGTCTTTTTCTTTCACGGTAGCCACAGGGCCTCCCCGTAGGCCCGATCGACGAGCTTGCATGCACCCGTGCAGCAGACAGCTAGCATATCAACCCACACACAGACATACTGTAAGTTCCGTACATCGGAGAGCTGTGCTGATGACTTGCTGCACAGGATCTCGCATGACAACATCATCTGCTAGGTGGCACAAACACTAGAACATCGTTTGATCTGGAACATCAGCAGCAAAATGCTGCTTCACTTCTTCTTCGGCTTGCCTTTGGCAGCACATTTGGCCGCATGCTTAGGGCCTGGAGTAGCTGGACCCTTGGGTTTCGTAGAAGCCTTCTTCAACTTCTCGATATCACGGATGAGGGGCCTCATCACGGGAGTGCGGATATTTCTGATACTTGCAGCTCGAAGGGTTACTCTGGGAATGTAAGATCCACACTGGCAAGAAGCTTCTTTCGAAGTTGCTTTGGCCATCCTTGACTTGCACATAAGCAAACCGACTATAAAGACAGAGCAAGCGGTGGAGAGTTAGGCAGAAAACAAGAAGAGGAAAGGGAGATGGAGTGAGACAGAGAGAGTGAAAGAGACAGAGAGAAGCCAAGCAAAAAGATAAAGATAACAGCCGGGGTGCAGAACCGTAGCCTTCTTGATGTGATCTTGCATCTTGGACCTGAGTGTGGAAAGAAGCAACATCGCATCACAAGCCCAATTGAACCGCTTCGTATTGCCAGCACGGCACGACAGATCATCAGATTCGCCATGGGCACTCAGGTTCGCCAGAACCTCGGCCAATGCATCGTAGACGGCCTCCATGTTGCCAGCCAGTCGGTCAAGCTCGCTTGCATGCCTGAGCAGATATCGTCAATCGATAGGCACCGGCACCCCAAAACTTGACAGTCGTGCGGCTACCACCTGACGATGTTTTACAAGAGACCTTGCATGGGTGGGCTTCGGATCCGTGTTGTAGGGCTTCGTGAACTTCTCGGAAAGCTCGTGCATCTTGGCGATGGGGGGCAACAGGTCACTCATCGTTTTCTCGGCCCGTTCGCAGAGGTCCTGCGGGGTATGGAGCATAGGGTTGCAAAACCTAAAGGCCCTCTGTACATACTATAAGTAATATATAGATATGTATGTATAGAGGAGAGAGAGAGAGAGAGAGAGAGAGAGAGAGAGAGAGAGAGAGAGAGAGAGAGAGAGAGAGAGAGAGAGAGAGAGAGAGAGAGAGAGAGAGAGAGAGAGAGAGAGAGAGAGCAGAGAGAGAGAGAGAGAGAGAGAGAGAGAGAGAGAGAGAGAGAGAGAGAGAGAGAGAGAGAGAGAGAGAGAGAGAGAGAGAAGATTGTATTGAATGCCACCCTGCACATCCTCCTGCGTGCTTTTCTTGTGGCTCGGCCGGTGCTCGTCGTCGGATTTCTCGTCCTCTTCGAAGTCCGAAACCTCACCATCAGCTTCGCTGGGAAGCTCTTTGTCATTCGTGCTCACTTCCTTTCGTGTGCCCTTGATCGTCTCGCTTGAGTCCACACCAATGGTCTCTTTGTCAACCCAATGCTGAAGCTTCTTGGCATTGTACTTGTACTTCCTCAGTACATGCAAGAGATACAGACCCCGATAAATCCTCATGTTGTGTGCGTGCACCCCGCCTCCTCAAAGCGGGTCGGGTTGAGGTGTAATCGACGATCTCCTTGATCTCTTCCCTGAGAGAGGTGACACTGCTTGGGGATGGAAAAGCTTCGTTTGTTGTCAGGGTTTCACTAAGGGCAGGGCTCGCTGAGTTTCAGCTGCACAGACATCGCTGACTCGGTGTACCAACCAGCAACTGTGTCAGTCTTCTTCTTGTGTGTCTTCTCCGAGAACTTGGTGATATTCCGCTTGAAAGCAGCCTTAACTTGACTGGATTTCATGGAGACACAGAAAAGTGATCCGAAAGGTTGGTCACTTGCTACGATATCAGGTGAGGGGCTGTGCAAAACCCAGCCGAGATGAGCATCTTCGTCAACTCCTCCCGACTGCCGAGGTCCTTGTACATCTCCTTTTTTTTGCCATTTTGACAGGCTCTGCGAACACGTTGGTCGATGGCTGCTTCGGAAAGAACCTGGCCCGTGGTGGTTGCACCACAACTACTCTACATGAAAAAGAAGAATCACGACAAACCATACAGAAGTATGTCGGTGTTTACATGCAGACATACCCAAGCACCGAAAATCTTTGAGATGCATGTACATGCATGCACACACACATACCCTATTATGATCACACACACACCTGCACATAAACATTACCATGTGTATATTTATGTATGTACATATGTATATGTAGAGAGT